TGTGTCTGAGCTGCTACTGCACTACTGTAGCTACAGCCGGGAGGACGCGAGGCTTTCTCCGCCAATCTGGGTTAACCCCTAGAGACACCAGATGAAACAATGAAAGCCGTTTCACACATTTAAAATACCGCTTTGGCTAGTAAACTTGTCAAAGTTGCCTGCTAAATGTGACGGGCTTTTAGCGGAATCGCTCTTGAAATAGCCGCTCGATGTGCGATACGCCACGGCGCAATCCCGAGCTCATTTTAATAGTATTAGCCAAGCCACTTTGAACTGCTGCGTGTTTGCTTTCCACGCAAAATCCGCTATGCTATTGTCTGGCTGCTCAGCAGCCTCCTTCAAAACCCCTATTCGCAGTTTAACCCATTCATCCACGCCGAATTACAGCCCATTCGCGTGTGGATACGGTTATAAACCGTATAGCTCGAGTATTCCCCAATCCGATCGGATACCGGCTAGGCCGCGCGTCAATCCCCGGACTCACCTGACTCGCCTTTACCCTTCAGGTTCCTCTGGCTCCGGGTTCACTCTCCGATCCTGAAGCGCTGCTGTAGCTCTTCACGACCAGTCCCCGGCACCGGCAGGCAACACAAAAGCGCTGATTGGGCCTCGGCGAGCGCTCATCCCCTTGGTCTCTGCCCAGACAGACGGGTTATTGGTCGGCGGCTGTGTCGGAGACGCGCCCCTATTAAGGTGTATGTTGTTGTCTGTGTCTGGAGGGGAGGGGACAAGAAGCTCTGAAATGATGGGAACTAAATGGGTTGTTATGCGCGTCGTGTCGGCAGCACAAGGCGAGCTTACTACACTGACAGATAAATTGTGGACAGCCATATTAACTCGCTCTTCTTTCCGATCGACTGGAGCATTTTGAGGACCGCTGTGGTGTGAAATCGCGCCGATCGTCTGCAACATTTGGACATTCTTCCAGACGTTTTCAAAACTTGCAGAGCAGCGAAACAGACCGTGGTACTTTCTCGCAGCGACAGATTTGTTGTTTTAATGGTTGATTTTAGGCCGCGTACGTGGACTGGAGGGATTCGGGCGAGATTTGATTTGCCATTGTCTGAAGCATCGTGGAAATGATTTATTTAAACAAATACCGAAACCATCCTAATTAGTCAGGATTATGTTGCAAGCATTGAAATGTATGATCGTGATTCATTCCTATTCCAATTCAATCATAATAATCAATAAAAGATTGTTTTTTGTATTTAGATTTATTTATTTTTCTTAAATGTCTATTGCAATTCATATTAGATTATTATATTATAGTATACTTTGTTTTAAGATATCGCACGATGCGAAATTCATTTTAAACACATTATTTATAGATTTGTTTATCTTATTAAATGATCTTTCAAAAATGTTTTACATTTTACCTAAAATGATGTTATTGCCATAACCGGTGATCAATAAATGTCACCCAGTTTATATAGGCAACAGTATAACAGCAATAATGCATGTGCGTTTACATGCTCAGTGAATTAGTCGTGGCTCTTACAAGGTTAAAACCTTTTGGTGACCAGCTCAATTTTTTTTCAGTGCCACACCACCCACAACTTGTCGGCATGCTTCCAAAAAGACGAGTTAAATGTCAATGCTTTGCAGTAGCCTAGTTGGGATTTATAGATGCATACCAAACATCTTCATAACAATAGATTGAAGATAAAACTCAGGTGGAGATTTGATCATTTGTATGATTAAGAAAATACAAAATCTAAATGTAAAAATATTAAATAAGATATTATGTTAATGATAATAATGTATAACTCTTAGATTCGTTTTAAAACACTCCAACTATTATTCTAACAATAATGCAACAATTTCAAAATATTTGTATTTTTAGGAAAACAATGTGTGGCAGCCTACAGTATGATGACACAGTGATTAAGCAATCTACCACAGATAATAAACATCTTAAAAATATAGTGATATCAGCATGCCAAGCAGTCTCCTACAGCAAAATACATATTATTTGCATTGCACTTGAGATAAACCTGTATCCGTCTTTCTCTTGCTCTCATTTATTTTTATATTCGACTCAGTGATGGGGCAGTAGCACACACTGAATGAACAATACGATTCTCTTGACCTACTTACACATGCATGCATTGTTGCAGCCCACAACACTAAGAGTGCAACAAAGGTGCGAAACACTTCAACAAAATTTTTACGAAGAGAACATAAACGTCTTTTTTTGCTTGCACGTGTATATACAGTAACATAAGAGCCGTGAAATGAATGTTGCATGCAGCGTTTCTTCATCCGGGTATTGTTTACACTCACTGTATGATAGCCTACTGTATCTCGTCATATACTGTAGACTCTATATGGGACCGCAGCGGCTTTGTCCCGTCAGTCGCTCTCCGGTGAACGGGAGCTGTCTCCGTGTTACAAAGCAGGGGAGATTAGTGACATATCGCAACATTTGTCCACCATAAACCCACGTAGCGTTTTAACCGGAGCTGGTATGTATTGATGTTCACATAGAACTCTTTTATTGTTTGTCAACACTGAGGCTGAGACCTCTAGCGGCGGCTCGAGTTGTTTACGGCAGATTTACAAGGCACGAGCTCAGTGACTCACTGCAATATGGAGTGCATTAATAACTCACTTCTGTCTACACCTACTCCATGTCACATCTGAAAAGGTTTACTTCATTAAATACGTTAAATCCCACGAGGAATCTGTGCAGAACGAAGTGGCTAACTTACGGGGATAGTTCAACCATCATGACAGCTCTGTCATCATTTGCCCTCATGTCGTTTATTTTGCTACTATGTACACACAAAAAGAAGAGATTTTGAAAAATGTTTTCATTTGTGTGTGTGTGTGTGTCTGTGTGGCCAAAGAATGAAATTACATGCAGGTCAAATGTTGGTTTTGACCCCTGTGACCTTCAGAAAGACGAAAGGCATGAAAATAAAACACATACATTAAATCATTCTGGTTAATCGGTTTTTCTAAGCAAAAATGACCTTCAGATATTTTAATAAAATTCTTAATTTATGTAAGTATATATTTTTACATAACATATATTTTACATTGCTGAAATATTTTAATAATATATCTGGAGGTATTCAAATTTATCACATTATTTTATTACATTTAATGAGTTTAATAATTAACTAAATTACAAAAAAAATCAGTCTTGACCCTGAACAATTTTTTTGTATAAAAAGTTTGAAATTATCATATTTTAAATCTTTTTTTATAGGTGGCACAGTGACTCACAGCAAGAAGGTTGCTGGTTTGAGTCTTAGCTAGAGGAGATGGCATTTCTGTGTGGAGTTTGCATGTTCTCCCCATGTGGGCGTGGGTTTTCCCCACAGTCCAAAGACGTGCAGTATAGGTGAATTGAATAAACTAAGTTGGCCGTAGTGTATGAGTCTGTGTGTGTGTGTGTGCGCGTGTGTGTGAATAAGAGTGTATAGGTGTTTCCCAGTACTTGGTTGCAGCTGGAAGGGCATCCGCTGTATAAAACATATGACGGAATAGTTGACGCTTCATTCTGCTGTGGTGATCCCTGATGAATAAAGGGACTAATACGAAGGAGAATGATTATATATAGTTGATATAGTTGAAGTCAGAATTATTAGCCCCCCTTTTTCCCCAATTTCTGTTTAACAGAGAGATTTTTTTCAGCACATTTCTAAACATAAAAGTTTTAATAACTAATTTCTAATAACTGATTTATTTTATCTTTGCCATGATGACTGTAAATAATATTTTACTAGATAATTTTCAAGACACTTCTATACAGCTTAAAGTGACACTTAAAGGCTTAACTGGGTTAATTAGGGTAATAGGCAGGTTAGGGTAAATAGGCAAGTTATTGTATTACTATGGTTTGTTCTTTAGACTATAGAAAAAAACAAAGCTTAAAGGGGCTAATAATTATGTCCTTAAAATGGTGTTTAAAAAATTTTAAAAAATACTTTTATTCTCGCCGAAATAAATCAGATAAGACTTTCTCCAAAAGAAAAAATATCATCAGACATACTGTAAACAAGTTCCTTGCTCTGTTAAACATCATTTAAGAATTCGTCCATTCATTCATTTTCTTTTCGGCTTAGTCCCTTCATTAATCTGGGGTCGCCACAGCGGAATGAACCACCAACTTATCCGGCACGTTTTTACTCAACTAATGCCCTTCCAGACGCAACCATTTAAGAATATATATATTTATTTATTTATAGAAACGACTAAAAACTCAACTATTTAGTCTCCACTTCACTTCCTAATCTGCAATTGCCTCTCTGGATATCACACTAACTATACAAAAAAAAAAAAAAAATCACTAATACTTTCCTTCTTAGACTTTACAGACCTGAAACTTGCTTATAGCACTTATTCATTGTTGCTCTTATAGTTGTGTAAGTTGCTTCCTTGTCCTCATTT